ACCCAGGGATATCAATGGAATCAATACACTGATGTTCATAGACGCTCTTGGTGACCAGGCGCGGTGGCTCACGCCTGTAATCCCAGGACTTTGGAAGGCCGAGGTGGGCAGATCAGTTGAGGTCAGGAGTTCAAGACTGGCCTGGCCAACATGGTGAAACCCCATCTCTACTAAAAATACAAAGATTAGGCAGGCGTGGTGGTGCATGCCTGTAGTTCCAGCTACTCGGGAGGCTGAGGGACAAGAAGCACTTGAACCCGAGAGGTGGAGGTTGCAATAAGCCGAGATCTTGCCACTGCACTCCAGCCTGGGGAACAGAGTGAGACTCCATCTCAAAAAAAAGCTCTTGGCTTTTATAAGCCAGTATATAATTTTTTCATTCTTAAAGTGTCTTTTCGCACCTAAATCTTGAAGTAATACTGTTAGCATCCTCAAATGTGAAGAAGAAATACATGTATATTTATAATCTATATCATTCATCTATGAGTAAAGATTTCAGTTGCAATACTGAAATTCCTCAGTCTAATAGAGAATAAAATTATAGCTACAGGCTGCTAACTCATAGAAAGAAAACCCTTGAAACAACAAGAATTCCAAAAGCCCAAGGTAGATCTAAAAAAGCCACCGTTAAAACTAGAATTAGGGAGTATCTTATGTATGACATTGAATTTCCCAAAGAAAATCTTATAGACTGACAACAACAATAACAAACCTATTTAAGCGCCCTGGAGAATGGCCAGAAGCAGGCAGAGACTGGAAGGGGTTCAAAGATTTAATCCTTAAAAGAAGGGTTATGTGGCCCTTCTTCCAGTCTGCTGAGCACTGTGACTAGACCACAAGAAACAAGCCAGTCGTATGGGTTTGAGCGTTCCATGGTGAAGTTCAGGGCTGTCAGAGTAGCTGGAGAGGGGAAGGAGAATCCAGGAAAGGAGAGAGCCACACTGAGGCAGTCCTGAAATCCACTAACATTTCCCTCAAATCTGGCTGATAGATTTGAACTCTGAACATCCAGAAGAGCTGCAGGAAGGCGAGAGAAGGCAGAAACTGCATGGTGACGGAGCTGAGCAGAGACTGCAAGTGCTGTCCAGCGCACAAAGCAGAGCTTGGAGTCTGAGTTCCAAGTTAGAGGGGACTGGCAAAGCCCTTAGGCTTTCCACTGAAGCTGCAGAAGGGCGGCGCCTCAGGGCTAAAGAACAATCCCAGGACTAAGGGATTTTCCTTAGATCTAAGGGCAAAAGCCAGTTAGAACCACTCAAAGAAAGCAAAAAACCAAGCCTCTTCAAGTTCAGGGTGACCCAGCAGTAACTTACCTGCCTGCTAGAACAAAAATCAGTACTCCTCAAGGAAGAGAATAGAATCTAGCATCTCTATGATGTAGCATCTACAGTATTCAATATACAATTAACATTTATTGAATATGAAAAGAAACAGGAAAATGTGATTCAGTCGGTAGAAAAATCAGTTACTAGAAAGCGACCCCAAATGAGTCAGAGGTTGGAATTCTGACAAGAACTTTAAATATGCTACTATAACTATGTTTAAGGATTTAAAGGGGGGGAAAAACAGAGAAATGGAAACACACACACACGCACACGCACGCACACGCACACACAATTTTTGGATCAGCTGCATCAGCTTAACGGTGGATTGGAGGCAGCTGAAGCAAAGGTTGGTGAACTTAATAAAGGAGCAATAGAAATGATTCAGTCTGTAAAGAGGTAAAAATGGAAATAATGAACAGAGTTTCAATAACCTATAAGACAATATCAAGCACTGTAATAACAAACATGTAATTGGTGTCTCAGAAGGAGAGGAAAAAGAGAGAACAGGGCGGAAAAAAATATTTGAATAAATAGTGGCTGAAAATCCCCCAAATTTGGTAAAAAACTTACAGATCAATTTATAGATCCTAGAAATTCAGCAAGCCCTAACCAGGATAAATACAAAAAGTAACACATATAGAAATATTATAGTCAAATTACTGAAAACCAGAGGCAAAGAAAGAATCTTCAAAGAACTCAGAGAAAAAAAGACACATTACCTACAGGAGAATGTCCATATGAATCACTGCTGACCTCTCTTCAGAAACAAGGAAGGCCAAAAAGCAATGAATGACATCCTCAAAGGGTTGAAAGAAAAACAACTGTCAATCAGGAATTCTACATCTAGTTAAACCATTCTTCAAACACAAAAGTGAAACAAAGACGTTTTCAGATAAGCAGCATCTGAGAGAATATGTTGCCAGGAGACCCTCGCTATAAGAAACACTAAAAGAAATGACCCAGTTAGAAACCTGGCTCTAAAGGCAAAATAAATAAATAAATAAATAAAGAGTCCCAGACATGATAAAACCGGGTAAATATAAAAAACTTAAAATTTTCTAGTGTCACTGAAAGGCAACAGATTGTTTAAAGTAAAATTGATAAGATTGTATTGTGGGTTTTATAATGCATGTAGATGGAAAATATATCAAATTAGTAGCACAAAGTCAGAAGGTAAGATGGAGTGGCTGCAAGTTACATTTTAGGTGAAGCGGCACCGGTTAACTGTAAGTAGCCTATGAAATGTTAAAGATTCATATTATAGGCCGGGTATGGTGGTTTCATGCCATAATTCCAGCACTTTGGAAGGTGGAGGTGGGAACACAGCTTGAACTCAGGAGCTTGAGACCAGCCTGGGCAACACAGGGAAACCTCGTCTCTACTTAAAAAAAAATTAGCCCGATGTGGTGGTGTGCACCTGTAGTCCCAGCTACTAGGGAGGCTGAGGAGAGAGGATCCTTTGAGCCTGGGAGATGGAGGCTGCCGTCAGCCATAATAGCGTCACTGCACTCTAGCCCAGGCAACAGAGTGAGCCCCTGCCTCAAAAAAAAAAAAATAAAATAAAAAAAAAATTCCATATTATAATCATGAGAGCTAAAAAGCCAACAGAGAGGTGAAACTGAAACACTGAAAAGTTATTCAATTAACAAAAAAAGGCACGAGAGACAGAAGAATGAAACAGAGTACAGACAGAAAACAGACCCATACTAGCAACAACATGAAACTCAAAAACCTGTGTTAAGTTTAAAAAGCCAAACCCAAAAGAGTCCATGCTGTACGGATTCTATGAATTAAAACCTTCCAGATCAGTCCAGAACAGCAGTTTCTTAGGAGAGGTGGGGATTGCCTGGGAAAAGGCAGATAACCTTCAAGAGGGACAGGAATTTATAGATGTTGATTGAGGTGGCGGCCTACGCAGAGTACACGTTTATCAAAATTCATAGAACTGAACAATTAAAATGTGTGCATTTCATCTTATGTATATACATTTTACATAAACATCAATTTTTGAAAGCTTCTTAAAAACTCTTGCAGAGCCTCCGGTTGTAAACTTGGATCAACAGAGGGCGCTCGGAGCCCACCAAAGAAGCTCTGGGCCACCAGCTACTTAGAGATGCAAACCAGAGCAGCTCTGGGCTCCCTGGTCTCCAAGGTGGATCGCGCAGCTCCCCAACACTCCCCCCTCGACGCCCCACCTTCCCCACCCACGGCCTCGCCGGCTCGTTTCTACCACACGCTGCTTTTTGGCTGATAAGCGGCGCGTGGCCAATGGCGATGATGTGTTCCACGGAACCTACGCGGAATACAGATGCGGGTGGGAGCTGGGGCGTGCTGCCTGGAGGTGTACCTGTCCCCTAAGGTCCCCTATTGATAGCATCGCTTTTAAATTGGAAGTGGGAACGTAATGGAAACGTCCACTCTGTTCTTGACATCTTCATTTTGACCTTTTTACCTCGCTTTGGTGGCTGCGAAATATTCCCACGCAGGAGCTGGAGCCAGGGAGGAGGGGGGCAGAGCACGAGAGGCACAGAAGAAATTCTCCCCGAGGAAGGCAGAGTGGGGGTGTGGCCCCAGGCTTCCAGAACCCCGAACCTTTGTCTTCCTGCCCCCTCCTGCCTCGTCCACAGCTCAGAAGGAAGCCAGCGACCAGAAAGCCCTGAACGTCCTTCGCGCCCTCGCCCACCCCCGGGCTGGGTCTCCCCGCGGGCGCGGAGATGCCATTACACCCCACGTGATCCCCACGCCGGGCCGGTCCTTCCAGGGGCGTCTCGCGGGGTGTTAATTAAAGGTCACAACAAAACAGACCTGCTGGCTCACCAGAAGTAATGTCCTCCCGGGAAATGAAAAATGACACCCCAGAGCAGCCACGTGTGGAGCCTGGCGTACGCCGGCTTCCTGCGCTCCTGGGCGCTGCGCCGGGGGACTGGGGGGGCGATCGGAGAGGGAGCGATGACGGGGTGCTCCGGAGACCCCGCGGGGCCCAGGCGCAGGAAGAAACGGGCGGCGGGGGGCGAGGGGGCCGATCCCCCGCAAGGAGAGGCCAAGGCCGGCTCGCGCCACACCCCCTCTCCAGGCCAGAGTCGTCCGCGTGCAGCGCGGCGAAGCCCTCAGTTTCCCCTGCCCGGCAGCGGCCCGCTGGGTCCCCAGGCTCACCTGTCCCAGTCCCGGGCGGCTTAGTCCGTCACAGACCGGGGCTCGGGCGGGCGGGGGACCAAGGGCCCTAGTCCGGCGGCTGCGGTCGGGGAGGGTGGCCCCCGGCCGGCCCGGGGTCAGTAGGGCCATTCCAGAAAAGGTTTGCCGGGCAGGTCTCCGAGAACAAAGGGCGGGGGGAGGACCCGGCATGTTTGTGGACTTGTTTGTGACTCAATCCCTTCTGCACGGCGTTTCAAAGACAGACCTGCAAGCCTTGTCAGGAAGAGAAAGAACTTGGGGGCGGGGGAGGCTGGGGCGCCGCATTTCCGTCCAGCCGCGCTCGCTCGCGCGGCCCCTGAGCTCCAGGCTCGCGCAGCGGCGTTTCATTAGAGCCCCGGGCCCGGGCGGCGCGCCAGGAACTTCCCCGCACGCAGCGAGAGCGACGAGCCCCCGCCCCCGCCCCGGCCCGGCTCCAGGCCTCGCACTGTCAGGCACGAGCGCCGCCACATAAAATGGATCCCGGCCGGCGCGGCGAGGGCGGCAGGTTCCCGAGGCTCCTCCGCGCCGCGCCCGGGCGCACACGCGCGCTCTGACCGCCGACCGCTCCCGGGCCCCGCGGAGCCGCCCCTCTCCCGGCCCTCGCGCAACTGTCAGGCGAAACGGGCCGGCGGATATTGGCTCGGCGACACGCCGAGGCTCCTCCCCGAGTCTGGATCTTTATATTTTGGGAGAATTTCTTTGAACTCAGTTACCAAGCTCGGTGAAGGAGACAAGTTCCCACCGCCGGCTCGGCTGGGCTCGGCTCGCCCAGCCCACCTTCCCGCGGCGGCCGCGAGCCCCGCTCGTATCCCTCCCTGCCCTCGTGGGGGAGCACGGACCGACTTGCCTGAAGAAAATGCCAGTGCTGTGGTTGTGACCGTGACAAGAGAACGTGCGGCTGGAGCAGGCAGACGGCGATGAGGAAAAGCATGCTTTGAAGAGAAGAATAAACCCGCGACCCCAACCCTTTCTGCACGTTGGTGCTATTACTTGTGGGGTCCGTTTGCTCTCGCTCCCTCCCGCCCCACCGCGGAAGAAACCTTGCCTTGAGGGCTGAGAGCCAGCCCCCTGCAGCCGGGCGACGCTTCTGGGTCGGAGGACCTTCGGATACTCTCCTCTGGAAAAGCCACCATGAATTCGGTAGCTGGGAATAAAGAGAGGCTTGCGGTCTCCACCAGGGGCAAGAAATACGGGGTAAGTAGTGACGGTACGACGCGGAGGCGCGTTACCAGACCCATCTCGGCGGGGATCCCCCTTTCCCCGGGATCGTGCGGCCCCGGCCCCGAGCTCTCCCCGCTGCAGAGGCGCCTCCGGGGCTGGCGGGGCTGTGAGTGCGCGGAGGCGGGTCTGCCGCGGGGACGCCCGCACACTCGCCTCGCTCTCGGAATTTTTTCAGTCCTCTCGTTCCTTCCTTTCCCCGCACTCGTAACTTTTGCGGCATTCCTGCGCTTCTAGGCGGAGTGAAGCCGAAGGGGAGGGTTTCCCATGAAGGCTTGGCCGTACCTCGGATCGTTTAGTTGGAGCCGGGAGAGCCTCTCGTTTACCTGCAGTATCCGGAGAGTTGCACCCCGTAGGAATAAAAACCCTGAAATCACAGCCCTCCCCCTACCCCCCCATAGGGTCTTCCAGGATTTCGTTCCTGGGATATTGCTGGAATAGGTGCCGGCTTCAAAAGCGTGGGGCACTGAACCTGTGGGTCCCCCCCGGCCTTGCAGAAGCCGTGGAGACCGCCCCGAGCGAGTCCTGGTCCTGACCCCAGGAGGAGGCCACCCGGGACCAGCGCAGGGGTCACCCGGGCGGCGGGGACTCACTTAAGGACAATTAACGAGACAGATGGAGGGCGATTTGGCCGCAGGGCTTGGAGAGGTCCCCAACCAGCTCCCATGGGCGGTTCGAGCGGGTACTTGGTGGCGCACGTCTGACCCAGCTCCTGGGCGCTGCAGCCCGCCGCCTTGCGGCCCTTGATAGCGGCGTGTCTTCCCCGCAGGTGAATGAAGTCTGCTCGCCCACCAAGCCCGCAGCGCCCTTCTCCCCGGAAAGCTGGTACCGCAAAGCATACGAGGAGTCGCGCGCCGGGAGCCGGCCCACTCCTGAGGGCGCGGGCTCAGCGCTCGGCTCCTCGGGGACCCCGTCTCCCGGCTCGGGCACCTCGTCCCCGAGCTCCTTCACCGGCTCCCCGGGACCCGCCTCCCCCGGCATCGGCACTAGTTCGCCGGGTTCCCTGGGCGGCTCGCCCGGCTTCGGCACCGGCTCCCCGGGCTCCGGCAGCGGCGGCGGCTCCTCCCCCGGCTCGGACCGCGGCGTCTGGTGCGAGAACTGCAACGCCCGCCTGGTGGAGCTCAAGAGGCAGGCCCTGAAGCTGCTCCTCCCGGGGCCCTTCCCGGGCAAGGTGAGCGCCGCGCGGGGCTGGCTGGGGAGGCGCCGGGAGGGCGGGGCCGGGCCGCCACCCGCAGCAGCTGCTCTGTCCGCGGCTACCTTGCGCCCCGGGTCCACGCGAGGGTCCCCGGCGGCGCTGGGGCTGCTCCACACCTCATGGGGCTCTGGCACGCGGGGCGACCCATGCACCTTCCTCAGCCAGGCCGCCCGGGGGCAGGAGGGCTGAGTCGCGAGCGCGAAGGGGCGCCCGTGGCCACAGGCCTCACGGCCCACGGGGGAGGCCCCCAGGTGGTCTCTCCTGCCGCCCCCTCCCAGCTCTCCCTGGCGACTGCAGGCTGCACTGTCGATGTTTCTCCCCACCCCCACCTGTGATCCTTTACAAAAATGTCAGCGGGAGTGTAAAAGCAAGCTGATGCTTGGAGCTGGCATTTCCCACTGCCTGTTTGTGGTCCATCCTTTCCGTGATTGCAGAAACAGAAACATACTCGAAAGCCAGCATTTCCCCCTTGTCAGTCTGCGTGTATGACTGGGGAAGATCCAGAGGCGGGTAGCTCCTCGGAGCAGTGCTCCCTCCTGGCCTGGTCCTGCGCCAAGCACACTGGTTCCTCCATAGCAACCCTGCCCGCGGTGTGTGACTGGCCGGAGCCCCCAGAGGGTAACAATGCAATTGTATTTGCACTGTTGGGTCCATGTACTATCAAATGATAATATTTACTCTTCCACTTCAAAGAGTTTTTATCAGTGGTTAGAGAGCAATATCAAGGAAATAGAGTGGATTGCTGTGGAGGTTTTTGACACTGTTGGTTCAACGTCAATTTCTGGTTTATTATTTCCGTGACTTTAGAAATGAAATACTGTGATTTCCAGTAGGCGTTTAGGAATGACCGCGTCTGCTGGCCTCATCTGCGTATGCAGATACACACGTTGATGTTTTCATAGGCAAGGGTTAAATTCAACAAATGCCCACAGATGCTGTGAAATTTAAAATGGGGAAAATGACCACCAGGAGAATTGGTTTTATGAATGCAGAACTTATCTCAAGAGTAATGAACTCGTGGATGGTTGTCAGTGTACTGTTTTTGTAGTTTGATACATCTGCCATGACATCCCAAGGATAAATCTCAGGGAATCAAAAAGCTTATTTCGATCTTGCATGCTAGACCTTCCGATTTAACACCATTTCTTCATTCACAGATTTATTTGCTCTCGTGATCCTTCATCAATATTCATTGATTTTCTACCCCATCCAAGCACTGCCAGGCACAGCAATGAAAATAACAGGTCCATTCATGCAATCCTTGTCCACGTGGAGCTTATGTTCTAGTGGAGGATACAGACAGATATCAACCACAAAATGCACAGTTCACAATGTCTTCACATTTGTGGAGGGAGTGCAGGATGCTGTGAGGTTGTTGAAGTGGATGGGAGCATCTGATAAAGATGGAAGAACCTTGGTTCTTAAAGATCTAACAGCTGATATTTGGCAGTCCTAATATGTTACAGCCTTCCAAATTATTTTAGACCTTTCTTGAGGACCCATTCTTATAATAGGCTTTTTGTGGCATTGAGTGTTCCTATATGCAAAGGTAAATCCAAATACACTCTTCTCATTTAAAAAAAGAGGAGGGGAAGGAAAATCTACCGAAGAAACAAATGTTGAAACTCGTATGCATCCATCATGTTTTATGGAGTCTTGTGACCAGCTGGGATTTTGTTTTTACAGAAACAGCCTGGAACATTCACTCACAGTGTTATGGGAGGCAGCTCAATATATTTGCCAATTTTATGTCTGTGATGAGGTAAAACTTGTTGGTAAACCGATTGTATTGTATTGTCACAGTGAGGCGATGGCCCCAGAAGAAACACTGGATTTGCTGAACCCCATGCTCTACAATGACTCAGAGTGATCCAAGGACATCTAGAGAAGACCTGGTAGTCGTGGGGGCAGTCACAGGGGATCACTTTAAGTGCATATGTGAATGTCACATAGTACCACAGTCGCCTGAGTTTTATATGTGAAGCAGCACCATAAAATGTGACATTTGGTGCAAGGGCATAGACAGGGCTTAGCCAGGAAGAAGGGTGCTTTGCATCAGCTCATTGTTAGTAATGAGATGTGGGGCCTCAATGAGCCTTTGTGAATAATAATTGTGTGTGTGTTTTAAGCATTCCTACCTTGCATTTAGGTACAATTTCCATTATACCTTTAGCATTTGCAACATTATAGCCAAAGAGTTGCCATGTTCTCTGGTGCACCATGGATGGAGGCCATATAACTTGGATAAGATCGTTCTTCCTGGCGCAATATTAATGAACAAACTGGGGACCACTGTAGCCCTCAGGCACAGAAGGAGTTAAGTTTCATTAGAACAAGAGGCGTCACTGTGACTCCAACGTGAAGTTCCCTCAGTTTGCTCTGAAAAGTAAGAGTCTGGAAGATAAAGACATGTTTTTGAGGGGTAATTAACAAAAATCATCTTTGTAATTTGCTTAAGATGCTTACCTTCATTGGGGAAATATTTTCTTAAATAGAGTGTTAAATTCTACTAGGTGGTATTAAATGTCTCCTAGGTAGATATTTAAAAGTCAAAAGCAGAATAGCACATCCAGGAACCTTATTATTTTAGGATGGATTTGATTTTAGTTCTTCCTTCACCACTTATTTATTTTGTGACATTGGGTAAATTAGTTTTCCTCTCTACTTTTTAACTTTCCTATTAATATGCTCAGGAAAAAAATGATTCAGACTGTTAAAAAGTCATTAAAATGATCTAAGGTAAGGTTTCATTCTTTAGAAAAAGATATGAGAGTTGATGATTATTAATGAGCCAAGATTCTGTTAGATTTGTGTTTTACAGAATTTAAGGTTTTTCTTATAAGTTATTACCCCTGTCAGTTTCTAATTTCATCTGTATATTTTCTAAACATGCTGCCGTATGAGTTCTCACACTGTGCCTGTTGGTAGGTAGCAAACCCTATCGAATTCCCCCAGTTTTGTCTTTGGAACAGTTTAAGGAGGGGAGGTGAAGTAGTAGAGAGCCCATCCGGGTATCTGGTTGGTCCCAGGAGCTAGTGCCTGGCTCTGGTGGCCTGAGAAGAAGCATGCTATTCTGAGCACTCCAATGGAGGATAGGGCTTCGTGGCACAAAATGACATGATTTGAATGTAACAGTGTGGGGGATAGTGTTGGCTGAGGTAGGAAATAGGAGGAGACATGGAATTGGGTGGAGCTCAGAGGGAAGGATGATCATGAGTTTCATTTTCCATGCATCGAGTCTCAGCTTTCTGGAAAGAGATGGAGCATGGAGGCAGATTTAATAATAAAACTGTTTGTTGTTGGCTATCTCAAGACTGGCGTGTAGAAGTGACAGCTGTGGGCTCACATAGCTCTGTTGTTGATACTCTATTCATCCTTTCCGATAGCAACTTACCTGGTGAAGTAGACATTTGTGCTTGGTGGCAGACTGTAAAACACTCAGGTTGACTTTTATTACTTTGATCAGTACAAAAAGTACTTACTGGGTTTATATCATTTCTCTTTTGGTGCTGGTGAGAAGTGGTCAGATAAAAGAATGTGAACATGTAAAGTGTTGCGATTTCAAGTGAGAACGGCCCTTTTACCCGTTGTAGTGTTCCAGTGTGTGCATACAAAACCATTTCATGTCCAATGGCAAGAGCATCATTCCTGTTTTATAGACAGTCAAGGCACTGAGCCAGAACTAGGGGCCAAGGAACGAACTGCTCAGTTTTGGGCTAGCCTAGATCATTCTGATATCTGTGACAGGACTTTTGAATGGACTGGGCAAGTCCTAGGAAACATCAGCCCAACGAAATTCCCCGGAGTAAGCAGTAAAGCTCCCGGTTGGCAAAAGGTTATCAGACATCTGTTCATTTCCATATCAAGAAAAGAAGATCTTTTATGTAAAAAAAAAAAAAAGTGCAGAACTATGTTCCTATCTGATTGTTTCTCAGTCAGATATTCTGAATCCATTTATGCCCCAGAAATATCAGGAAGATTAGCCAGACATACTGAGAAGGGTGGCCAGGAATCACAGAGATGAAAGAAAGGAATGCGTCATAGGGGTTAAAAATGCCAACCGTGGACTCTAAATAGCCAGAGACCAAGTAAGTCTAGACTTGGGGAGATATAGATATCCCTACACACATATTTCTGTATTTTGCCAGCTCCAAAAGACGGGTATGAAAAAATAACTAGATGCAAAAAGTCCCCCAAGAGCCATCATCAAACATTTTATAGATAGGCTAAAACAGACATTGCATTTCAAGTACTTATTAATTATAAGGGACTTCTAGATGAAATCTTCTCTTTCTTCTAAGAACATGTGGCTATTTTCAAAAAGCTTCATTTGAGTCTTTCTCATATCAGAAGTATTTTAGATAAAGGAGCAGTTAATAGATAATAGCAGTCATGAAAAACTCCTGTAGCGTTTATCATTTGAAAATTTCTGAAGCATTTTGGGAGTTTAGAAAAACATTCCCAGGAGGGACATGTGAGCAGTAATCTCTTGTTAAGGCTTAGCAAGCCGTGGAATAATGGCAGTTCATTCTACCAGACTATTAATTGTGAAGCAACATGGTCAGTTTTTATAGTGACTTAATTCACTTTGCAAAAATCCCTGGCCTGCAATAATTCCTTCCACACCCATTGCAGATAGGATTACTACATTAGAAATGTGATTTTTAAATGGCTGAGGCTGGTAGTTTGTCAGCATTTGGAAGGATTAAGTCAATTAAAATGGAGGCAACATCAGTTGCCTTTTGTTATTTGGCACCATATCACAGACTGTACCATTTGTGGGCCAACAATAGTGATGATAGTAATAATAATAATGATGTAATGAATGGCTAACAACTGTTGTCCTGCATACCAGGAACTACATGGAAACACACACACACATCATCTCATATATAAAAATGAAGATGAACGTGATTTTTTCTTTTTTACCGTGAAATGCCAGGTTCTTGATGTGGTTAAGATCACAGAAGGAAGCA